ACGATTCTATGTAGTCTGTTTTTTTTTTTAAGAGATCTTTAGGTTGAGTGCAACCAACATACTACATACATAGTTGTGCTATTGAATACTGCTGGTATTCAAATTGATGCAAGTTATGACAGTTTCAAGTCTTTCGTTTGTCACAAATGAAAAATGGAGTATGCACCCAAGTCCTTTGCGGAACTAATAACTAAACTGCTTCTATGTGGTTTAGGTTTTCTAGCAATTTTCCGTTACAAACAGGTTTTTTAACCGTGTAATTTCTCATCTCTAAATAACGAAATTGTTATATGCTTACATACATACAGTAGTTATACACGTAGTTATGTATGTACGTGTTTGTTTGGTTTGCTTTTGTATACTATGTAAGCGTAATAATAAACCATTTTTTAAAGCCTGCCTAATACATACATAGTTGTATTTGATACTTTGTAAAAAATTAATAGCGAAAATATGCCATTTTCAGTACACCATGTTTTACAGAATTGCTTCTACATCTAAAGCAAAACTTGTAGAAACACTGTTTGAATTTGGTTTATAACCTTAGCCCGAGTCCCAGAATTTCGTCAATTCTGAAAGTGATATACATTTATGTATGCTTCATACTTAAGTAATTTTTTCTACAAATTACTTTTTAGCGTTGGAAATTACATAAGTCTTTATGTATACATATGGATGTACATACACATCTTCATACTATGTATATACATATAGGTAAGTGTATCCTATGCCTTTAGATTATGGGGACTTTAGGTTAGAATTATTCGAATGATTTTTTAATTGAAATATTAAACTATTTCCTATAAATTAAATTTCACGTTTTATGTTTTCGCTTATTTCCTCACATTTACATAGTATTTATGTATGTATGCACGTATGGTAATTAAAAAAATATGTATGTATATATTAAATTCTATCTTGTTTCGCATACTTCCAGTTTCTCTTGTTAGTATAATTTGACTTTGGCTTCGATACTAGCGTTTTTAGAAGTTTGATTTTAAGGTCTACTAAAAATAACTAAGATGTATATATTTTATTTTTTCCTCAACATTAAAACTTGAATACTAAGTCGCTGTCGACTTTTGTGTTCTTTTGTTGAGAATACTAGCAGCAGAGTAGCGCAAAGTGAAGGAGTTCCGGGTAAAATCATTATACTTTTCTTTTAGATATAATATGCGTATTCGTATGCAATATCGTAGACGAATATATATCTATACATATATATTATTCGAAGTGACCTTAATGCAAAAGTAGAGCTACAGAGCTTTTGGGAGTACATTGTGTTCAAAAATCGAACTCATTACCCAAATTGTTGCATTTTTTCTTTAAATATATCTACGCGGGGTAAACATATTTTAATTTCTTGTAGTAAATCAAGAAGACGCTACATCATTTTACGATTTTTTGACGTAATATGCTAAGTAGACATGGTTTGAAGGAAAAATGTGCGAATATGTTGTGTATCGAATAGTTTTAAACACGCCCCTATTAGGAACTCATACGATACACTATAAAAGCTTGTATTCCTATACAATATTACGAATCGATGTATAAAATCCGAGAAAACAACAGCTAGTTTGTGTTAGTTCACAATAGAAAGTAAACAAAAACACAGTCAATTGCCATCGTACATCTTTCCCCGTGTATGGAAACCATAATACAAAAACTAATTTTATATTATACGCTCAAGAATGATAGAAAAGAAAATTGCGTCCTCAACGTTCAGCTATCTTTTTTGGTTTGAGTTTGACAGCCAGCTACTTTGATGTGGCGTCATGAGCGAAACGAAAATTCACCACAAATCGCAAATTTAGTGTTCAGTGGTGAGTTTCAATAACTATATTTCAGACAAATCTTTGATGAAGAACTATTTTTCCTTTAAGTTTTCTGTGGCTGTGGCACAAGTTGATTAGTTCCTGCCGGCGATCAAGTCCTTACAACCACAAAATAGCATTATTTGCAAGAACTATTGACTAAAATATTAATTCCTATTTGATATTCAATAATATATGTGTGCAATAAAATTTTTAATAGAAAACACAAACTCACTTCTATTTTATTTAGATATTATGGCTCATAGATATTCCAATTTGGCAAATTTAGGTTGCTTTTCTTCACATATATGCCTGGCACATTTACTTTACTTTTTCTTCTAATATTTCTCATAATAAACTAATGAATGTCCGCAATTTGGTTTATCATTTGTATGGGATTTTGCCACTTCTTCTTTGTCTGCTATTCATACTTTTTCGTTCATGACGTTACAGCAAGGCTCAGGGCGCATTCTTTTCTATCTCTTGATTATACGCTTGTATTGTGCGCTTGCAAGTGTTTATGGTATCGTATGAAATTTCATAATAGGGGGAATTATTATTTTTATATCTAGTATGTATGTTTTAGGGAAATAATATTAACATTTTGCGTTACGTTTAAAGGGCCTACATACATACGTTTTACCAAATGTTAATGTGTGTGTATGTCTGAAGTTTTTCAATTGCTTTTGGGGTCTGCATATGTTTACCATTGAAATGTGTAGACATTCATTCTATAACAATATAAAGTAAACGTTTAATTACTTATCCTTAAGGACTGTTTTAACAATGCTGTGTTAACTCACGTTCGGCTAATTTAAGAATTTAAGAGAAAAAAGGTCTCTAAACGAAGCAAAGGATATTTTTTTTTTTTTTGATTCTAAACAATCGCACGGCGCGAGGTTCGTTAGAAAGTTTTAACATTTCAGGTTTCACTTTTGAAGCACTTACGAAATAAAAAAAAATATTTAAAACGTAAATTTAGACCAGTACGAAAATCTATAATAGGTTAAACGTTTACTTTATCATTGTATATGAACTTAACTTTATTTTAACTTCCGATTGTAGCTAAACCCCGCGACGAATGTTAGAGTGAACTTAATAAGCGTCGGATATTCTCTGTTTAACAACTGTAAAAGCAAAACTTAAAAAAACTGCATCTATAAAAATGTCAACATTTACTCTAACGTTCGGAAATTCTTCGCTCTGGTTTTTTTATATGTTCGTTTGCATAAGTTTGCAATTACATATATAACTTTTAATTTTATGTTTGTATGGATGAATGCGGCGCATTTTATGTTTCTTTTCTTTACACGTCAAATTTTTAAATTGGCGAGATTTGTCTGTTCCAAATAAAGATTTTCCCCCCTATTATGAATTTCCATACGATAAACGATAAACGCTTGCAAGCGTATCGTATGAAATCAGTATTGGTATTGTCGTTTTCATACGCCCGATAGATGCACTATTGTGAATGACCGTGGTTTTTGTTTACTTTATTTTGTGAAATTGAGAGTGAGCAATAAAATAAAAATTAAAGGACATGTTTTCTACAACATCAATTGCGTTTTTTATAAATTTAAATGAAGGATATAATGAGACTCGCATAGAGGCTATCGAAAGAAGAAATTTAAGAGATGCTTCGAATCCTCTGGAAATGAATTCTATATTGTAGGTAGCTCATAAATGTACATTTAAAAGTTCAATAATTAAGAAGCGCTTTTAGTTTTCAGAGGAATTTTCGACTTTCCAAAGAAGCAGTTATTTATATCCTGAATGAAGTAGAAAACAAATTGCGTGTACGGAAAAATAAGTCATCCATACCAAATATAATAAAGGTATGCGCAACTCTAAGATTTCTAGCCCAGGGATCATACCAACAGAGTGTTGGTAATGAGGCGTTACTTGGCTTAGCCCAACCTACTGTTTCCATTGTATTGAAAGAAACATTGAGTGCTTTGCAAACCACTCTATGTAGTAAGTGGATTAGCTCCAAGTATACTGAGGAAGAAAAGAGAAGAGCAAAATCTAGCTTCTTTGCATCAAGTGGTATTCCCGGAGTAATTGGATGCATTGACGGGACCCACATTAAGATTGTGGCACCAGAAAAAAGTTTGCAGCATTTGTATTACTGTCGAAAGGGGTATTTTAGCATAAATGCAATGCTAGTAAGTAAAGAAATTTCTATACAGTAATTTAAAGTATTTTAAATTTAATGTTTTTTCCTGTTACAATTTTGCGCCCGTTTTAGACCTGTGATGATTTAATGAACATAAAATACATCAATGCCAAGCACCCCGGCGCTACACACGACTCCATGGTTTTTCAAATGTCGGGATTAAAAAGACAATTGGAGTCAATGTATAACCGTGGTGAATCTAACACCTGGTTATTAGGTACTCAACTTGTAACTCAAACATTTCATATTTAATTTATTTACTTTCTATGTTTTAAGGTGACGCTGGATATGCCTTAGCGCCTTATTTGCTAACACCTTACAGGAATCCTGAAGAAGGTTCATTAGAAAGTTTATATAACTCGCGGCACTCTAAAGCAAGGAATATTATTGAAAGGACGATTGGGGTTTTAAAGAGTCGGTTTCGCTGTTTGCTAAGTGCTCGCGCACTTCACTACACTCCTGAAAAAGCCACTTTGATCATAAATGTTTGTGCAGCTTTACATAATATTTGCAATCATTACAATGTACCATACGACGAAGAGGATATTGCAGATGTGCCAAATGAGAATTCGGAAATTGCAATAGAAACTTCTGAAAATGACTCTACTCCTATGCGACAAGCTGCAGAAGAAATCAGAAGAAATGTACTGTCTTGTTTGCATTGATTTTTACTATATTTCTTTAGGTTTTTATCAAAAAATAATAAAGCTTCTTGCTTCAGGTACAAACTCAAATCCATTGTTTTTTTAATATAAAATAAGATCACATTCGTAGCTTAAAAGTAAATGTATCTACTTAAAGAATTCAGTCCACTGTATTTTCTAAACTTACTTAAACAAACTAAAATTCACTTTTTTTTCATAAAATCACATTCGTAGTTAATAGTAAATGTATCTACTTAAAGAATTCAGTCCACTATATTTTCTAAACTTACTTAAACAAACTAAAATTCACTTTTTTTCATAAAATCACATTTGTAGTTAATAGTAAATGTATAAAATTAAAAAATTCAGTCCACTACACTACACTTTATAAATTTACATATTTACATACTTAAAACTAACAATTTTTGTACATATTCTGCTTGATCTCAAGAAGTTTTTTCTTGAGTTCTAACTTCGCTTTCCTATCTCTTCTCTTACTTTCCATTTCCTGCTTATAAATAGCGAATTTATCTTTTTTTATATAGTAAGTTTTTTTTGTATATACTTCAATATTTGAAAGGCTTTGTTTCATCTCTTTTAGTGTGGCCAAAGTCTCCTTTTGAAATTCAGCCTGCTGATCCGTCTGCCGCTCAAGGAGTGCAATTTGTTTTTCTTCTCTCCTTTTAGGGTTAAAGCTGCTATTTCGGCCATGCTCTCGCGAAGGTATCACATTTCGCGAAGGCCCTGGGATATCGTGGTCTGAATATATTTCCACTTCCGTAACGGACTCATTATCGTCATTATTTTCTATTCCAAATTCTTCGCCTGGCGGATTGTTGTAAGTGGTGTAGCTCATTAGCCTGTTCACCGTCTCTTCCAGATTTGAGAGTGGAACTGTGTTATTTGGCCCACCTCCAGTTGCTAAATTCTCTGCGTGGTTGTGAGCGCTCTTTTTCTTAGTTTTATATTTTAAATCGTTCCAAACCTACAGTAATAAAATATTTTAGTCTTTCAGTTCCAAATATACGCACTACTAATATGCTTACTCGTTGCCATGCATCTGATGATCGTGTTGGTGGTCCTAATGAGTTCAGCTCCTGAGTAATTTTTTCCCAACGTGGTTTCGCGACAGCTTTATGACATATTCCTCTTGCGAGGTCGGTATTCTCCTCCATTAGCGAAGCAAGACGCTCTAGTTGATGCTTTGTACTCACAACTCTCGGCCTAAAGAAATTTTTGAATTGAGTTTATAACTAGTTCATAATTTATTTTTGCTCATTTTAATACTTACATTATTCCAATTTCTCAAAATAATTATCAAATTTTAATTTGGTATACTAGCACAGCAATCTATCGTTTAAAAATGGCGAACCGCTTGCAAGCGTCTGGAATCGAACGGCTGAGACGATAGTTATCGTTTGGCAATATCATATTTTTACGATATACGATAAACGCTAACTATCGGATTTCATACGATAGACTTAAATTCGTAATACGGGATAACAGAATGCAAGCGTTTATCGTGTATCGTATGAATTCATAATAGGGGGGTTTGTAAAGTTATACAAGTTTAAATTAAGATAATCTTCATATACGATTTTTTGTTTGCTTTGAATTGCTGAGTTAAAATTGTTTCTCATTAGTGTAATGATGTCTTTTATTTTCAAAACTATGTAACAAAATTTGTTTATTAGTTTATGGTGGCAAGGACCGCAAAAATAATATTGTACAATTACATAATCCGCTCTAATCTATGGATTTCAAAAGTTAATGATTTCAATTCCTAAATATTAGTTGCAATGAAATCGACTGAATTGCGTTTCGATGAAATCTGTTTTCATTAAAATTTAAATATATCCTCGTTCGATGGCCAAATTTTTTCTATAATCCTATTTACTTTGATACTATCATCAAAACTATCATAAAAATGAGCTGTTCCTGAGAAATCTACTTGTAAAGTTAATACAATTAATTTTAGGTAATTCATATAAAGTGAAGCAAACAAATAAAAACAAAAAGTAATAAAAAAAAACTAGATGTAATCGTTGTAAGACGATTTTTTTCGCGGTTCTCTACTTAACAGGTATTAATTCAGATGCAAAGTAAATATTTTTGCGGAATATCGTTAAAATTATATTAATGAATAACTAGAAATGTGTTGTAAAATAGGTTTTCATTTTGTCGGTTTCCGCATTTTTTGTACGAAAATAACAAATTTCGAATTTCATTTCATTCGATGCTGTTGTCAAAAATTCAGCGTTTAAATTGTTGTTGCATAGTTACTGACTGCTTTCTTTTAGTTGCTCGCTTAATTTTATGATCTTATAGAAACCGGAATAATATTTTTTTGTTATGAAATAATATATAAAAATTAGGAAATGCACTTTTGCGTTTTAGCACATTCCGGCTTCAATCCAATGAACACCGTGAACAATTACTCTCTATCGATTATTATTTATGAATGTTTTTTTTCTGTTGTAGTAGTATCAATAAGTAATTAATATTTTTAAGTCGATAAAATTGAAGAAATGTATATTTTATATATTCGCTATGCGCACTTCGAAAATTCGTTTTTCGTCTGATGCACTTACGCTCTTTGCTGCTGCTGCTGTTGTTGTTGTTGCTGCTGCTGCTGTTGCAAAACATCGGCAGCCGTGGCCGGTGCCACGCCAGCGGCAAACTGGTGTGGATGTGGATAGTAAGCAGCGGTGGCATGTGGTGGCAAGCCTCCATATGGATTGGCAGCAGCGGCAGCAGCTGCTGCTGCTAAAACACCACTAGCATCATACATATAAGCAGCCGTATTGGCAGCTGCGGTCGGCGGCGATTGTGCAGGTGCTGCATATAATGCCGCAGCCGGTGGTGTTGATACATTGCTGGGATACTCACCCCCCAATTGACCGCCGGCAGCAGCGACAGCAGCTGCTATGTTGGCAGCTACATTCACCTGTTGTTGGTGTTGCTGCTGCTGTTGTTGTTGCTGCTGCTGAATGGTAACTGCAGCGCCATTTATAACACCATTATGCTGTTGAAGCTCAACACCACCAGCAGCCCCGCCATTGGCAACATTTTGTTGTTGCTGCTGTTTGTCGTAGTGCTGTGGATTATATTCGCGTTTTTGATATTGCTGGAAACGAGGTACATTACCAGTTTGTTGTGGAATGAATTGTTGACCACGTGGTCGATATTGTTGTTGTGGTATGTAGCCGTTATTTTGTTGCATATGTGGTGGCATATAGCCCATCATAGGGCGAGGTCCACCCGCGTTGAACGGTGCACGTGGACGATAAGTGCGGCCGCCGCTTGCATCTTGGCTATTGTACTGGCCACCAGTGCCGCTGTTAACCACGCCTGCACGATTGTTCCAGTTGCCGCCAGCGCCACCGCTGCTAGCGCTGTTATGTTGCTGATATATGCCGCTGCTTTGCTGCTGATAATGATTCTGTTTCGGGACATACGAACCGTTAGCGTTGTTGCCCGCCTGATAATTTAGGGGATTGGTGCGTTGCTGATGAGGAGGCTGTTGCTGCCAGCGGCGATTATTGTTGCCTCGACCATTACCATTTCCGCCTGAAGAACGTGCCAAATCCATTAAAGCCGGTGGAGGTACCTGACCGGCCTCCTCCAGCACAGAAATTAGATCGCGTGCCTGTTTTCCATTGTCAGGAGTAAATAAAGTATAAGCTGTGCCTAACTGCTGGCAACGACCAGTACGTCCAATACGATGTACATAGTTTTCAGATGAGTTTGGATAATCGTAATTGATGACATACTGCAAATCTTCTACATCTAGGCCACGTGAGGCCACATCGGTGGCAATTAAAATATTCGATTTGCCGTTGCGAAAATCTTTCAACACTGAATCACGTTCAGGCTGGGACTTATCACCATGAATGGAAGTGGCGGTGTAACCTTCACTGCGAATTATTTGCAATATTTCTTCGACCTGAAAAAAAATATTATTGTGTGTTTAAATGAAGGCCTTGCAATAATTTGTTTAGCTAAATATGTAATCATAGTGATTATTTAGATGTTTGCCTTAAAAGGAGAAACCTAACGATTAAATAACGAGACTGTAACCATTAAATAAGAAAGATTTTTAATGGTGTTCTCGTTTCTACAAAAAATGTTACCTTCTCATTGCTTCTGAGAGGGCAATGAAAAGGTAAAGGTTCGTTTGAAATGAAAACGCCATAAGACTTTTTGGGAGATATCAGAATGGCTTAATGCGCTGACCCAATGCAGGCTTGCTTTGCGCGTCTTGCTGACTTTAGTTTGCTTTCATTTACTTCGAAAACTTGTTTGTCCGAATGGCGACTTGGAACGCTGTCAACGTAACCAGATATCTGGTCGAAAAGTCAATGTCTGTTCCCTTAACACAAATAATTATTTTCCTACAGGCTAACCTAATGTTCGCGGCTTGCGTTTTGGTACACATGCCGTGGAATTTGTTTTTATGCGTCACCCAAAATTGGCTTGCGTGCGTTTGCATTTGCGTTTTTAGCAAAAACGAAGAGACTGATAGGCCTAAAATCCTTAGGGGAAACATGAGAGCCTTCGGAATGAACGCAACACTGACTATCCTGCAAGCCTTACAAAGCAATCGATTCCTTCATCCGCGGTAGCCGAATGGTAAAAGTTGCGTACTACAAGCGAGCTTATGCCAGGTTCGATCCTCGGCTGCAGCGATTACCAAACAAATTTTGGTCTTATTATTTATTTACTTCTTTTTAATTTAATTTTATTTTACTTTTTTTATTTCACAGTTTTTATTTTATTATCAGTTAGTTTAAATGTTTAAACGTTTAATTTTACTAAAATTAAAAAAAAAAACTAGCTAAAAACAACATTAAAAAATATAAAAGTTATAATTGAATGAAAAAAAAAATATATATATGAATATTCTACTGGCCGTGGGATTCGAATCTACGACCTCGCGGCTCGTTGATCCGCATTACCGCCGTCTGTCAAGGCACAATTTTTAAACATCGATAATATCGGTTCAATTTTCGATGTTTGCCATCTATGTTTACAATTTACTAACATCGCGAAATTGACGATACATCGATGGAAGTTTTGCCGATGTCTTAAACATCGACATTAAGGAGACTCTCCGTCTTTCTTTCGGTATGTTTGACTGACCTTAAATTTATTATTCAATCAGATTTTTTTTTATTATGGCCTTATAACAATTATATTCAACACGCTTGTACGCTAAACCCGGTTTTCGCCATGCGACAGCTTTGCAAACCGTGCAATACGTGCCCCTTCCAAGGGCTTTGCAAGACTGAGAGAATACCCCTAATATACATATATATTTTTGGGATAATCTGCTGTTATGTTACCCAATACAGGTCTATTCTGCCGGTATAACAACAATTTTGCAACCAACTTCGCTCTGGCTGCTGCAGCAGTCTAACCTCATACCAGAGCAGAGTGAATGCAGATGTGCCCAATGAGTGCCCGGCACGCGGAGAGTCGCCAGATGACTCAAGACACCTCTTCGCATGCCCCCAATAGCCCACCCAGCTAACGCGTCTGTTCTATAGACAGACCCAGTGGAAGTTGCACACTTCCTGGTCCTCCCCTCGGCTCAGCCTGACGACAACGTTGACGGACAAGCCGACGCGAGCGGGGCTTAGCCGTTGCGACCCCTCCCCTTAGCTCTGATATTCATATCAGTACTAAAAAAAAATAATAAAAATAATAAATACTCTTACCTTTATCTTAGTTTCGACAAATATAATAATCTTGTTATTATTGTTAGCAGCATTATTAGTGGTGGGTGCTACTTCTTTTAGCAACTTGATAACCCGTTGTGGCTTCTCAGATTCTTGACAAATTTCTACAATTTGTCGAATATTGTGATTAGCTGATAAGTTCATCGATCCAATGTTTATAGAAATATAATCCTTTAAGAAATCACCGGCCAGTGCCTGTACTTCCTTGGGCCAAGTTGCGGACCACATAACCACTTGACGATCGGGTCTAATTTGCTCTATTATTTTACGGATTTGTGGCTCGAAACCCATGTCCAGCATGCGATCAGCTTCGTCCAATACCAAATAGGTACAACGTTGCAAGTTTGTGTTCCGATTCTCTAAGAAATCGATTAGTCGGCCTGGTGTAGCGATAATGACTTCAACGCCTCTTTCCAAATCACGAGCTTGCGGTATTTTTGAAGAACCACCGAAAATACAGGTATGGCGAATTTCAGGTTTAGACAAGTGTCCATAATCACGAACAACAGATTGTATTTGCTGAGCCAATTCACGTGTTGGAGCCAATACCAATGCTATGGGACCCTCTCCACGTTGTAATGGTGGCTGATTTGCAATATGTACCATAGCAGGCAACATATATGCCAACGTCTTACCGGAACCGGTCTGTGCTATACCAACTAAGTCACGACCAGAAAGAGCAATAGGCCAACCTTGTGCTTGAATAGCAGTGGGTTTAGTGAAGCCCTGGCGCTTCATCTCTTCAATTGTATATTCTGGCAGAGAACATTCCTCGAATGTCGATACTGGATGGGGAATACCATTTCCCGAAACTGTTATCTCCAACTCATTGCGTAACTCAGCAACAGCTTGTTCATTCATATTCAATGTGTTTTGATGTGGTACATAGAAATTCTTCTTGAAAGGTTGTAAATTTTCCCAAAGTGGGATTTGTAGGTTACGACCGGGATTTTTAGCTTTTTCACGTTGAAGTTCGGCTCGCTCTTCCTTGCTCAATAAACCTAAATTCATACCACCATGGTAGCCGCTATTAGGTTGGTAGCCGCCGTTTGGTTTTTGATAACGTGGTACGAAATTCGGATTTTTACCACGAGCTTGGTAGCCTCCAGGAGTGGCAACACCACTGCCATAGAAGCTCGGACCCCCACTTGTCACCATCGAATTAGAGCTGCTGCCTCCACGATAAGAGCTTTGGGCGCCACCATACAATGCAGATCCACCACCATATGGCATACCGGCATTGTTGCCATTGTTAATAGCATTACGTTGGTAATGGGGGCGGTCAGGGCGCGGACCACCTGCGACGCCACTGGCACCATAGAATCCATTAGAGTTGGCTTGTGGACTTCCACCGCTCACCGCATAACCACCTGCATACATTTTTACTCTTAGGTGAAGTCTTGACGAAGAAGATTCGTTTGTATTTTATTATTTTATGTCAAACGCCGTGCAATCCACGCAGATTCTATTTATTTTTTATTTTTAAGAAAAGAACAAAAAGGAACAGGAAAAATACAAAATTTTAGCAAAGATATTGGCATAGGAATGACTTTTAAAAAATTGTAGATATGGTTACCTAAGTCTACTTCTCAACTGACAAATGATCATCAAAGAAGCCTAACCTTGTAAGTAACCTAGCCCGAATATAAGCTTGCGGAGGCAAACATAAAGCAATAAAAGTTCCTTTCATTCCTATTTAAGTCTTACAATGTATTTTAAATATTCTAAATTACAGTTGACGAAATCCAAATGTCATAAACGAATTTATTGTTGGCCGCTAATTAAATATGAACTAGTTGAGATCAAGAACCGCATGGTTATCACTTGTGAAAAAGCAGGAGAAGTTCTATATACATATACGTATCCAACTACAACTATACATATATTTAAGTACTTTTATATATGCTATATACATATAACTTCGTTCAACGTACGCTGCCCGTCGTTGAGAAAATCGATAGTGGATCGTTTTTTGATGCAATAAGGTGAAAGCGCTTACTCAATAAAAACAAAAGGCAGGACATATATATATATATATGTAAGTAGGATAATATATTTATTTATTAACTTACCCAATGCTTCAATTACCAACTTTTCACCGAAATATTCAAGTATTCCGCTTCGATGCGAAGTTTTTGATTCCAGTTCTACGCTCCAATAAAACTGCTCAGCCTTTCCGCTTTCAATTAAAGTGGATATATATCATACGGCTTATTTTTTGCTGTCGCGTCGATTTTCACTACGATTCCTGCAGTAGTCAATAAGTGTAGGTATATATTTTCTTTAGGTGCGTGAGGAGCTCCAAAAAAGAAAATTGGTGATTTTTTCCACAATTTTCCGATCACTTTGCTGCTCTGTTCTACTGCGTATTTCACTTATTGTTACGAAAAAAGTAATTAATTTACGTTTTTCGAAGCATTAGTCAAATTTTTAGTTATACAATAAAAGTAAAATACTATAATTTTACTGTATAATATTTTAACTAATTTAAATGTGCAGGAAAAAGCGAAAACGACGTGATGGCAATTGAACGAGCAATTACCAAATTGTGATCAACGAATGAACAATACCCGAACGAAGCAACGAATGTGATGGCGGCTGAACGGGAAATTTTCGGTGAAGTTTGCAAATGGCGTCTGCGAACTGGGTGATCCAAGTGAAAGAATAAAGATTTGGACAAAAAAGTTTCACGTATTTGGAATAGCCGAAATTATCAATAAATCGAAATTTTTGATGTTTATTTAAAAAATTTATGACGGCTTTTTCCAAAGTCCATATAAACATTGTGAGATACCTATGTGTTTTTAGAGGCCTTCATCTAAAGTGATAACGGGATAGCGATATTTGGATCACGATCCTGGATCTTGATATTTATTGAAGGATCGCAAAATATCTAGAAGTCTTGAAATCCGGATCAGGGATCGCGGATCGCGAAATAAATATTGAAGGTGTAGCACATTAAAAACGCGATCTATACATTTCGTCACTACATTTTGTACTCTCATAATGCGATCATCGAAAACATATTCGCTCACGGCGCTTAAAACCTTTCAAAACAAATTGAAAGCATTTAAATTAACATTCGAAATTTTAAAAGAATAATGGAATGCATTTTCTGTAAATTATTGGAATAAAATATAATTATTTTATTGCGCCATAATAAGCATGCAGCACAAAAATTATGCAAATACTGACGCGATAAATATTGAACGTTAAGCACACACTCACGATCCATCAATATTTTTAGATCCATCAATATGGCTCACCAGGCGCCTTTAGCACACACTCATAATACTTCTATATTGGCAGTAAGCTAACATCTGAATGTGTAAGCATACCGAAATCAAGGCGAGACAGTCTTGTACCGTTTTTGTGTATGTGTTGTGTACATCTTTATTTATAAAATAATGCGTTCCTTTTCTTTCGTACGTGTTAATTCGTCACACGAGCGAGATTTTCCAGCACGTGGAGACGGCCGGTAAATACTAGTAATGTGCTGAGTCGACACTATTAAGTATTGATCGATACTCGGTACCGATTTAAAATGTATCCAATACTTTCGATACTCGGTACCGAAATGTTCAGGCTTCCAATAAGACCGTGCATAGACCAAAAATACCCTACAAGAGTTGTGTGATGGAAACTAACACATCCTTATTATTTACCTTACTAACACATTTGCAAATTTTGCGTTGGTTAAAAAGATACCCTTAAATAAGGCCATAATTTGGAGGAAGACGGAAGATCACATGTACACAAATGTTTACATCAGATTTTTCACACTGCCCTTTAGAATTTAATAGAAACTTGTAGGTAGCCAGTGACAGAAATCTCTATCAGTCTTGCCACTCAAATGATTTGTCAAATGATAGTCACTGTTCTTGCAGGGTATGGAATCAAAACTGTTCAGGGGAGCAAAACCATACACACCAATTGAGGCGGAGAACCAAAATTAAATTGGCCTCTATGTCTATGATTATGGCTATGGCGTTATGGTGTGGCACCACTAATCGTATACAGTGTTGGCCATAAGTTTAACTATGTTCTCATTGGCGTAATTTAGAGGTCAATCTTAATTTACGCATAAATTAAGTACAAACTAAGTAATTTCGCCTTGTAAAGTCTCTCAGTAAATTAAGTTGAAAGTACGTAGTTTATCTTAAACCAAGAACCAAAACACGAACAAATCAGTGTCGGCTCTAATAATCGAAAAAAGTATTGTCCCATAACTGATATCTCATTGTGTTTGGACGTTTTTGTTTTTAATAATCGCGCGTGGTAGTTTGTAAAATATTTCCAGAAGCTTTCTCTTTTGATCACTCATCTAAAATCTAAAAAATTACCACAAACAACTCAGAATATAAAAATATACGCAATTACTCATTCGCGATCTCTTTTGGTTAAATAAACAATAACACAGGGTTGCTACAAAGCTGTCAAGACAAATAAAGAATCGCTTGTATGAACGCACTTAATTTAGTGAGGTATTTTAAACGAAACTAAGTATTTTATGTTGGTAATGTGAACATAGTTTTAGTTTGAACAGCTGTTTTATATGGTTATGGTTATGTCACCATTTATATGACATTTAATCCTGCTATACAGTTCAATGCGAGCGTGAGCGTGAGCTTTTTATTTTGACCAATATCTTCGTTATTACTTAACTTTTTGCAATAGTTGATACATCAACAGATAGCGAATTAAAATATCTTTCAGAATTATAGAATAAAAACTAATTTAAAATGCATAACATGTATTTTTTCAACCTTTGACAGATGTGTGTGAGCGTCCAGAATTACTTTGTTAGCTCCCCCAATTACGATCGCGAACTACCCAATTCCCACGCGCACATTCTTAATTCGATTTGACAGTTCTCTGTATCTGTGTTTTGTTCTTGTTTTCTTCACTACAAAATTGATGCAAAATGTAGGTTCTTCCTTAAAATTTATAAGTTTCTGTATTAAATTAGGGATATACACATTTATAAACTTTACTTTTCGTAATTCGCATGGTAATTGTATCTGAATTAACAACAAATGAGGTAATACGATGTTTCCACGCTTCGTAATTCGCTCTTTAAGTTACATCCGATTTACATGATTCAAGTACTTGAAAGCAATCGAAGCTAATTCTCTTTTGTATTTTCTATTTGCTTTTACACGCTTCAATTCTGTTGAATTGAAGTTTATGGTTCTTTAAATGGGAAACAACGAAAAAGTCAAAAGCAAAGCAAGAAGGTTGAAACGACTTGACGGTACAGACGCATTTGTACTCGTCCCTTTTCTTCTCAACCCCTCTGTTCCACATGCGAGCAGAATTGAATTCAATACTTGAACTGTGTAAAATCAGTCTAATTCGCAAAGTAATTCGTTAATTACCACGTTTCCACGCCAAACACTTGTGAATCGTTTGGGTGCTCTACTCATCGTACAGTTCCATAAGTAAAGTAACTCTTTTTCTTACCGTTTTTTCTGGCAGGCTGTAGGTGTGTTTTTGGTAAAGCTGAAATTAGTCGAGAACGCAGAACGCATACTTAAACGCAGGGTGTATACGCAGAATTTTTTCGATTACTGGAGCCCTCAGTGTTGCTTACTACACTGTTGCCACTCATCAATGCCTTTTCATAAACTTACCCTTTCAACTACAACTTTTCGTGCTATAATAGATTTTAGCTAAATATAAACTACTTAGTTTTCAACAAAAACCTTATTCAATAGTAAATTTCAAATATTTTAAACATATTTTGAATAGGAACTTATAACTTTTTTACCATCTGTAAAACTGACGAAGTGGCAACCATCTAAAGAAGGAGAAATCAGCTGACACGGAAAAATCTAAATTCCGCAGATTTCTGCGCTACGGGCTACAACTACAGAAAAATTCTGCGGTGTTGAGTTTTCATTTACATGGCGCTTTGGTAAGACAGATCGTGTCAGCTGACTCGGGTTTACGTACCGGTAGGTTTACGTTCTTGACTAATTTCAGCTTTAGTGTATTGGTGTTTTGGGTTCAGTGTGTTAGTGTAGTTCTGAACACATTGAAAACGACGAGCTACCGACCACAGCTTCCAATTTGTCATCTTTATTATCTAAGCGCTTTGTCGATGGCGACATGATTTCTTTGAACGCGGCAGCGACATCATGAATTTGTATGAGTTTGACATAAAAGAAGAGGAAGAACCTTATCTGTCGCCAGAAAAATAGAAATAGATCTAGCCACAACCACAGCCGTCGCGTAGCCCGGTCGTCGCCAAAATAATTATCTACATATGAGTACGTGTTAAAATAATTTGACAGCTGTGGTTGTAGCTCGTCGTTTTCATTGTGTTCGGGCTATTAATTTTGAATAAATTGTAATAGAAATAAAAGAAATTGTAATAGAAATGAAAGAAATTGTAAAAGATAAGAGCACATGCCAAAAAACAGGTGATCTCAGCTGTAGGCATTTTTTGGCAATCAGCTGATAGTGTTTTTACTTATGAAACTGTACGATGGCTCTACTTCTTGTTTTAAGCTATTTATTATTATATTTGTGTACTGAAATATCGAAGATGGACCATAAATTTATCATCAAAGTTTTAATTTATGTAGAGAATATTTTATTAGTTAATTTTCTAACAACTAGAAAAAGTGCCAGCAAATAGGACAAGCCCGGTAAAAACTTCGATATATTTTCGATAAATATTAGAGAAGGCACCGATTCGTTCGTGATTCGTATGATAATTCGATCTGAATTACCTACAAATGAGGTAATTCGCTCTCAAAATTGTGTATGGCGAATTACGCAATTCGAAGGGTAATTCGAGTGCGAATTAAGAATGAGAGAGCGAACTACGTAATTGGGGTGGGGTGGGAAATCCTTCCCCGCCAAAAAGAATTACCGTCGCACATTTACAAAACTTTTCATAGGTACACAATCAAATAAAGCCCAGGTGAAAGTTCCAATTAAAGCATTGGTAATTGTAAGAGCTCAGATAAATACATACCTATTTTGTAATACAAATGTTTCACTCCACGTTGAATTATACTGAAAGTATTTATTTATTTTAGACGTCTTGTACGTAAATATAACGGCCGTCTTTTCTTTTAGTGCTTGGCCGAGATTTTCTTCCGATTTGTGGCGTGTGCCTTTGTATTGTCACACAAAGGGGAGGAACCTACAGTTTTACGCCGACTGCGAACGGCGATTGTATTTTTGTGAGAAGTTGTTTTCATGGCAGAAGTACACTCAGAGGTTTGCCATTGCCAGCCAAGGGGCGACCGCGATGCGATGTTGCTTTTGCCAGGGCTTGAACCCAGGCGCTGCGGAGTAGAAGCGCGCACTGCTCACCACTTCACCACAGCGGTCGCCTTTTTTCCGAAGCAATAAATAACTAGTTGCAAGTTACTTTTACCTTTATTTTAATTTATAACTTCAACGACCATTGTACATGAGCATTTTCCTACATACATATATACATATGTACATGCATTACATACTATATTTAACAAATTGTAATGTATATTTGTGTAATTTAAACGCTCGGTTCATTTGTTGGTGATGTTTCCTTTAATTTCATTTGGGATTCAAATTTGTCAAATTCCTTTTCTGTAATTTTATCGACTTGATCAAAAACTTGTTCAACTGACACCACTTCAGGTATATAGAATTGTAACATGTTTTGCACGCCATTTTTAAGCGTAACAATGGAACTAGGACAGGAGGAGCAGGATCCTTGCATCTTTAATTTAACTACTCCGTCTTCATAACCCATGTAAATAATATCACCGCCATCCTCCTGTACGGTTGGTCTTATCCGGCTATCAAGTAGCTCTTTTATCATCATGACAACATCATCATCGTCATCTTCAATTTGAGTGTCCGAGTTAGGTTTCGTTTCGTTAAGTATGGGTAGGCCGCTGGCGAAAAAATCCATTATTACTGCAAACACTTCCGGTTTAACAACAGCCCAATCTGCATCCTCGTCTTTCGATATTGTTATGAAATCGGCCCCGAAAAAGACAGCACGCACACCCTCAATGCGAAAAAGTAGCTTAGCTTTCAAGTAAATACAATAAATTAGTTTCGAACCTAAGTTAATAT